GTCCTGATGGACCATCTGTCCGACATCAGCCGTTTAGTTTAGTCTACTTTGCTCTTCACTTTTTTTTTTTTTACCTTCTTATATTTACATACCTTGTCTGCATTAATTTCCTGTTTCCTCAATTTAAGCCCATATTTCGAGACCACGCGCGGTGTGAAGGAGGATTGTTTAATCTTCGAACACCCTTGATTAGTAAATATTTCTTAGGAGATAATTATTTTTAAATTAGAATAACTGCCAAGAACAACAACAGTTAAGATAATAAATTCGTAATGCCTTTTTAACCAATCATCATGGATTCAAGAAAATTAACATTTAAATTGTATGGCATAGTAGAACTTTTTTCAAAGATAATTTGTAGGTTTTAAAATAAAAAGGCGCTTATTTACACATTAAGATACTCCTTAAATAAGAAGATCGTGTTTTCTAAAACCAAGTCGATTTAATTATAAGACAACCTCTGAGAGTACGAGTTAGATGTATTTTTGTAATCACTTAGTTTTGATCATATAACAGTCATTTTCACCTCCATTAGTAGTAATTGTTTATTTTACGTTTCCCAAAAAAACAAACAAGTAAAACTATTTTTGCTCTAACAAGAAAAACAATTCATATGCTAAATACCTGTCTTCAACTAGTAATAGTTTACTATTACATGACACATTAAAACTTAACGAGTTTCTTTCAATATAAATTATAATCATAAACTATTTTACCCTTTGGGTATATTTAGTCAATCGGTGCTTTTATCTTAAGAATGAACAAGATATGTTTAAACTCACTTAGGGTGCGTTGTTTTCTTAACATCCCAAGACGTAAAATTTAAATATGAGAGTAGGTAGCCCTCGCGGACTATCTCAAAGGTCAAATAAACAAAGATAGTAAACTCGAAGTAATTCGGATTATTCCAACTGATCTATGAGTAAATAATTGAGTTAAGAAAATCGGAGATAACATATCAGGCTTAAGATAAAGTACCCAATAAATATTATGTTTATATCAAAAGTTTACGTCTTTCGTATTCTTAAGTCCAAGCATGCTGAAACAACAAATTCCCCGCCGTCATTTCGAGCTTGCTAAATAAGAACTGAGAGACTGTAATACAAAATCTTAAATATCACGCTAATCTAGCCCTTAGCGACGTTACACTGTTTTTAGATTTACTTCAATTTGAAAAACAAGAATATACACAATTCAGTAAGAGATAATAGTGAAAGCATAATAAATTAATTTTAGTTAAAATAATAATATGATAGGCGTCTAGCAAAACGTACATGTTAACTTTGAATCTTCAACACAAAAATAGATATGTCACGATTGATTTTTTGGTTGATTGACAAAATGAATTTAAAATGAAATATTGTCCTCGAAAATCGGTGTCATCTGGTCACCATAAACTACCTAGCTTAATGGATGGATCAAGTATAAGTAAATCCCTTAGTACTCCCCCCCTC